TGTGTGTCTTTATTTATCTCGTGTGCACGATATACTATGTCGTGCGGACGAGTTACTAAGTCTTGATTTCGTTACTTTGAATTAATACCACATACATTTATATTCTATAATTTTAATACTACATTTTCACTAGAAACATGATAAACATGATCATACAATGCATTTTTAGAAATAGTTTCAGAGATACATTCATGAAGATCACTTGGGTTACAGTACTGTAAATCTTCACTCTGGTTCGCATATCCTACATCATTCTGATCACCATTTGGCCCGTTCCCCATTACTTCTTTTAAAGCAAGTTCACGAAGCATATCGTCAAACACATTTGAACCGTGTCACGACAATACCAACATAATGGGTTTGAGACCAGCATGCATCCGCGCAGTCTGATCAGGATCCATGCTGTTGGCTTACAAACTCTATAACAAGTAGCGAAACCGATAGCGAACAGCATGGGAGTGAAATTTCTCCACTACGGGGATTTTGGCAACGACACACTTCAGGCGCAATCTCAACAGAGTGATATTGTCTGTGATATACACTCCTTTGATCATAGAATTGGACGACAGGTTTTTCTTGAACTTGTTCACCATTTTGATAAATTCATTGAATTGAATTAAAGAGAGACACATATGATAATAACAAGATCAACAAGGAAAGGTAGTGTTCAATGAACGCAACATTGTCTTAGACAATCATAACATTCATGAGATTAAACAAAAGCATTTAATGAGATCACTAGATCACCAGTTTGAAGAAAATGTTAAGACGAATGTTCTCACGTCTGGAACACTGTTTTCCCACTGTCCAACTGTGTAAGTATCAAGTTGGTTTTTAAGGCTTGGAGATTTTGTTGCTTAGCACATTCCCTGATCATGTCCTTCCGTTCATCCAGCTGAGGCGTTAACAAAGAACGGGTTAACTAAGCGGTTTGCTCGACATCCTTTGGTTGTTTTCTAGACATTTTTACCCATTCAAAATGCAACGATCTTCAAAAAAATGAGCTCTTGTGGGATAAAAAAACAATTGCTGTGAGTGTTAGTAATTTACAATACATTTAGAATACATGAAATGTATTAAATTGTATTAACCACGTTTTTCCTCTTGAGATAATTGCTCTTTAAAAACAACTCTGTTTAGACATTAACAATTATGGCGGACAATATTTTGGGAATCACTAGGAAAACTGAAAGGGATAACACAAACAAATGAGCCACGTCACGACAAAACCAACATAATGGGTTTGCGACCAGCATGGATCCAGACCAGCCTGCGCATCCGCGCAGTCTGATCAGGATCAATCCTGTTCGCTTACCAACTCTATTACAAGTAGAGAACAGCATGGATCCTGATCATACTGCACGGATGCTGGTCTGGATCCATGCTTGTCGCAAACCCACTATGTTGGTTTTGTCGTGACACGGCTCAAATTGTTTTCATATAAACTGGACGATACTAAATACAGGCATTTACTTATTATTTACTAGGTCCATAAAAGATCTGTTTCACATATTAAAAAGTCTTTATTACCCTTCCAGATTTTTTCCGCCTTTTTGATTGGATATTGATCACCCGAAAGAAATTGATATAACCGAGCCAGACGGGTAATATACACACTAAATTTCCCCGTTGGGTACCCCACGTTCTAAACAACATGCGCTATGGCGATGCGCGTACGGTTTGATTTTACGCGATGTAAATTCCGATTTACAAGCACTTTTTAACTGTCAAATGATAAATATTTACCAAAATAAAGTTATCATACATATTCTCATCAGTATTGAAAACAAATATGACCTTAAGAAAGCTTGATATTAATTCCAAAAAAGTGCGTTCAACAGACTACTCCTTTTCTCTTGTTTACATTGGTTAGGTTCGAAAGAAAATACGTCATGAATTTATGTGACGTCATGTAGTGATGAAGGGGTACCCTAAAGGGAATCTTATTTCAACGTTTTATTTGAAGTAGCAATGATTTATTTTAAAATCTTCTTAACTCGGCAGGGGAAGGGTAATAAAATTATTATTTTGGTTTTGGAGTGATATATGTGGATATATTACCTGCCAAGATAAAATATCACCCTCGCCTGACTGACGGCTCGGGTGATGTAAAATCTTGACAGGTAATATATCCACATATATCACTCCAAAACCAAAATAACATATAATACTTGTTTTTACATTTTAACAGACTTTTCTGTCATATGTAGCACCGTTTTTTCATATTAGCTCTATAGTTCTGATAACTTTTTACAGCCAATCAAGTACTTTTTCCCGTAGAATTAAATATCTCATGCCCATTAAGATATTAAGCATGGTATGGATTAACAATGTTAACAAAAATCCCTCTTAGCGCAGTCGGTAAAGGTCTTTTACTTCAACAACATAGACATAAAAATCTGGAAACAAAGCGATCCCTCGCAAGCACTAATCACAACAAAATTACAAGAGAATTGCAGACCCGGTTTGATTGAAACTATTTCAAATTATTTTATTGTTGGTTAGGAATAAAATCAGAGACCTACAGATCTGTAGCCCGATATTTATACCATTACACCACACCTCACTGACGTGTGAAGTTTACAAATATATCGATATATTCGTTAGATATCAGTGTTTAGCCAATTACCTTTACGAAAGTTGATAAAGTGCCAGGTCAATATTGTTGTAACACCACCAAAGGTCATTTCTATAAAAAAAAATAATGTGCTCAGGGTAACTTTGTCAAACAATGTGTTTAATAATGATATTACACGGAACGTACGGAAATATCCGATGTTTAATGACTACAAACGCATTCTTCAATCGCAATTTTTTCAACACTTAACGTCAAAAGGTATTAATAACCTACGCTACGAAATATCCATGAACACTTATAGATCATTAGTTCTGGGATAAGTTTAGTCGTTTTATTTCAGTGCATCGTGAAATTTGTAAACATGAGATTAAAGCGTACATTATCATTGCTTATGTTAAAGGTGACGACAATGTATGTGTTCATATGATTCATCTGGGGCTTAAAATGATTATCTTATCTTGGATGTTACAATTCTGGACTCAGATGTCTGACAGTGTGATAGCGATCACATGCCATTTTATAAACATTGACAACCTGAGCCACCATATTTAGCTCAACTTTTTTGGAAGGAAAAAATTAAGGTATTGTTACAGTCATCGTCTTCATAAGTGGCCACAACTACCCTTGGGACAAGACCTTCAAATAGATTACACAAAAGTTGACTTTCACTCATAAATGACATTGACCTTTAAGGGTTTTTTTTTTTTTTTTTTTTTTTTTTTTTTTTTGCTGCAACTGACTGTAACATTGATATTAACTCAAACTCAAACTGAAAATGAAAGTTAAATTTTGGAATTTTCACTGAATTTTGCTATAATTGACTTTACTTAGTGATTGATGAATAGATTATCTTCAAACTTGGACAAAATAACCTTTTGACAAGACATTCTATGAGTTTGAAATGACCTTGACCTGGACCTTTAAATGATCTTGACCGTCAATGTCAAATTATTGAATTTTGGTTAAAATGTTATAATTTTGTTATTAGTGTACAGATTTGATTAAATACTTGAACATGACAACACTTGTGGCCAAACAAATATATATTGTATAGTTTAGATGTTACCTTAACCTTAAATTGCCCTTGACCATTGAGGTCAAATTAATGAATTTCTATAACTATGGCATTTTGGATCATGTGCATAGTTTTAGATGTAAAATTGAACTTTGGTATCAGCTAATCTAGATTTTGACAAAGTGACCTACTTTTTAATTTTGATATCATCTGACCTAGATAATTTGACGAAACGACCTACTTTCTTATCCTTGATGTACAACTATGGAATCTGGACCATGTGTACAGTTTTAGATATAGAATTGAACTTTGATATCAGCCGACCTACATAATTTGACAGTGACCTTCTTTCTCGTCCTTTCATGTACAGATATGAAATTTAAACAATGTACACAGTTTTAGGTGAAAAAATGAACTTTGATTTTAGCTGACCTAGATGATCTGAAGAAGTTACATTCATGTACTTTCTTGATAATTTGATGAAGTGACCAATATTCTTGTGCTTTAATGTACAGCTTTGATGCTTGTAATGTGTGCACAGTTCAGTTTTAAGATTTGTTTAAACCCTTTATTTTTTGCTTTTAGAAATAGTAAAAACGTCGAGCGATGCCCCGCCAAGCGGTAGCTCTTGTTGCTACTGTGCGAAGATGAAACACATCCGTACCGTAACTATACAATAAGAAGTGTGACATTTTTATGCCCTCGCCATAAAATGGCTGAAGCATATAGTGTTACCATGTTCCGTCACTCCGTCATTACGTCACTCCATCATTCCGTCACTTCGTGATTACGTCATCATCAGTTTCCGTTCATTATATATTTATAAGGAGGATTAAGCATATTCACTATTTGCAAGAGACATTCACAGGGACACTGACCATTTCCACTACACTAAAGTCTAGTCAGGATGATAACGCTTTATCAGAAATTCGTGCTTAATTTATAGGCGGGGCATAATATGCTAAGTGTTCTATCCCATGATTCAAATTATCGAATAAATATTTTTCAATAGATCTATACAATAAATATTTTCAATTGTACAATATATATTTTCAAATATAGAACATATATATACTGTATATAGAATATGGTATAGAATATAAAATTAAAGTCATACAATATAAATATTCGATACAGACCAAAAAATAGATTTATTGAATTTTGCAACGTTAAACGTGCCATTGATACTAACAGAATTATTTTATTCACTTTCTAGGGACTTCTATCCCTTCAAATAAATGAAATAATGAGTTTTTATGTCAAACATTTCCTTCACCTCGTAAGTAAATTTGTAAATTCGCTGATACCTGATTGGAGGAAAACATTACGCGACGCTAATCTCTAGTTGCCCGTCCCGTTATCTTTTGTCCTGGACTGGATTGGATTATTTTGCTTGTTTTTTTTTGTTGGTTTTTTTTTTTGTCAAACCGAAATTGCAAATGCCATAACAAAGATCGTAATTGTACGTCAATGGGTATCGTAAAATTGACTCACTATTTTTCAATTATGATAATACAGAAATGCATGCTTTCTTATAATTTAATATGAATTATTAAAACTCGATACTTATCATGAAATAATTACAATCTTCATCAAAAGTCACGTGGTTAAACTACTTTCAAGATATCGGCAAAGTGTACCGAATGTATCAAATTGTTTGGATACTAAAGAGAAACACAATTTGGAGCGTTGATATTTAAGGTATTATATTTTTATTTTTCCTCTGTTGTTTACAAACTTGATTACAAGAATTTATCATTTTTTATCGTGCGGATTAAAATAAGCATCTGAACAAGTAAAAGGTTGCGTTTTGAAGTCACAGCGAAAGCTTAAAGGGACTCCTCTGATGAGTTTTTGACATGACGGGACTGGAAATATGTTTTAAAATTTTTTATACCATTTAAAGTAGGTTTACATAAAAAACTTGTGTGCAAATTTCTGTCTTCTTATTTTTTTACTTCTGTACATCTACTAATATTTGTTGTTGTGCAAAACGAACTACAATTTAAAAAAGGTCCAAAAAAAATCTTAACTAAATGAAATTTTTTTATATTTCTTACAATGATAGACTGGGGCATATGCAAAATATAATAAAAAACATACTCGGATCGTATATTGTGCTATTCTTAGCCCGGTTTGAATTAATAGTGTTGCGACGCTTTTCAATAATGATTCATTTTTTACAATTAGAATAATTATTTTTGAAAAAATTAAAATAAGAAAAAAACGCCACGACACAAGTTATGTTATAGCTCTACATCAAATAAAATATCAATCTTGAAACAAAATTTACATTCCTGTCATGTCAAAAATAAACCTCACTGGAGTCCCAATAACTCAAATCTGAGAAGTGCACTAGCTATTGATTTTCAATTTATTTTTAAAGATATTTTTTATAATATTTTCCATATTATTCCTTTTTTTTTTTTTTTTTTTTTTTTTTTTTTTTTTTCGTTTTTAGTGCCCTAGATTTTCTATGTAAGATATTTAGATTTTATGTTTTTTATTTTAACTTGGACCTCAGAGAATTTTGCAAACATATTTGTAAGTTAAACATCAAGCAACAAAAAGAACTGTGACTGATTCCCTGTTTGCATGTATTTTGAACATGATTATATATACTTTAGACACATTATTTCCTTTCAGGAAACAAATAAGCCAAAAGGGGCGTAGTAAATGAGGATAAGTAATTGATAAAAAGAGTAAAACAAACAAACATGGAATTGAGTTCTTATATCCGACATATTCTTACAATGTCGCTTTTCTTGATTGTTATTTTATTTTTTCTGATATTCGCTGGAGGAATCGGTGCAGACCGCCTGGGTGAGTTTGATCCTTTCTTGGCATACGGTTGGATAACGACTTATATTCTATATACTCTAAGATTTTTGACATTTATACCATTACCCCAGGCGATATTTAACTTTCTTGGACTTTTCTTTTACAATACTTTTCCACGAAAACCGAAACTTAACAATGCGACTTTGTTTGGGGCATTTTTGTGCTTTAGAACGGTTACCCGTGGAACATTTCCAGCATTAGTGAGAAAAAACGTGCAGAGGAATATAGATACGTGTTCGAGGATCGGCCTTGATAACTATATTTTTGAGGTTGTAACAGACTGTACAGTTAACGTGCCAAAATCGCCACGTGTACGAGAAGTTATTGTTCCACGTGATTATGTCACGAGGAATCGAACACAATACAAGGCTAGGGCGTTGAATTACTGTCTTGAGCCAGACATCAATATGTTAACCGATTCGGACTGGATTGTACATTTAGACGAAGAGACATTACTAACAGAATCGTCTGTGATTGGAATACTTAATTTTGTTAATGAAGGAAAGTATGACCTTGGACAAGGTGTTATCACGTATGCAAATGAGACCATTGCCTGCTGGGTTACCACTCTTGCTGACCTGGTCAGGGTCGGGATGGACTTTGGAATGATCAGATTTTGTCTGAAATGTCTTCATAAGCCTGTGTTTAGCTGGAAGGGAAGTTTTATTGTCGCAAAAGTCAATGCCGAAAAGCAGATCACGTATGATTTTGGCATGGAAGGAAGTATTGCAGAAGACTGCTTTTTCGCTCTGAAAGGATGGCATGAAGGGTTCAAATTTGGATTTGTTGAAGGTGAAATGTGGGAAATGAGTACATTTTCTGTTTTAGATTATGTTTATCAGCGAAAACGCTGGGTGAATGGTATTTACAATGTTTTCTTCAGCAAGCAGATTCCGCTGAGATACAAATGTGGAATTTCTTTCATGTTACTGTCATGGCTCACAATGCCTTTTACTGTTCCAAATATCTTGCTTGTCCCTCTTTACCCGTTACCGTTGTGGCGTAGCGTTAACGTGACATGCGCTTTTATGGGAGCCGTCATGACGTTTCTTTTTATTTTTGGTGCCATTAAATCATTTTCACCTAGACGTCTGGGATGGATTCGATACCTTACACTATGGTTTCTACCCATTTTTATACTACCGGTGTCCATGATTCTAGAAACAACTGGCGTAATTTTGGCGCTAAAAACTAGAAAAATATCCAGTTTCCATCTTGTTGATAAGCAGACTACAGATTTAGTAACAAATGAACAAAGGCATATTGTTTAAAACGATAAAATGGGATAAAATCGGAACTGATATCGTTTTTTGTGTTTATGTGTTTGTGTGTTTTTTTGTTTTTTGTTTTGTTTTTGTTTGTTTGTTTTTTGGGGGGTAGTGGGGAGTGCCTCGAATTTGACTTGATCCTCTCTACATAATGGTTAACATTTAATTGAAATTTGATTGTTGAGCGGAGGTGTGAAAAATCAAAATTTCAATGTTTTGCTTTTGGTAAATGCATTTTTTGCCTCTAGATATTTCATTTTTTATTGGATCTTAATGGAACTTTATTCAATCCAAAATTAATTTGCCCCAGTTGACTTTATGCCAGTTCCATGTAGTCTCGAACATTTCGTTTATCCATTTTCGAAATAAAGAAACAGATACTGATTAACTATCACGTAATCGGACAAAAGAATAAGCGTTAAAAAGTCACAATTCTACGAGTATTACTTTTCACCCTTCATCTATTTACACGAAACCAAAATTCTAAAATCATCAATCATCAACACAAAGTACATTTAAACCATTATGTTGTCAACTGAAATTTTTGATATCAAATTCTACAATATTTTACTTCAGTAAATTTACAGAATTTCCAAATTTTCCTTCTTTTGCAATTGAATTTATGTTCTCAATCTTCAAAAATTAATTCTTTAAATGGGATCGCCAGAAGACATTTAAGTTATTCTAATGCAAAAATGTCGCATTTTAAACTAACAACGTACTTAAAAACTCTAAAACTTTATAAATTTGTACATGTAGTTGTTTGCGATCACAATTTGCATGTCAGATAAGCAGATAAATTACATAACATGCCAATGTACACATCTGAAAAAAAGCAAAGTTTACCAATAGCAAATTAGAAAAATGCAAGTCTGATAAATGTGTATAATATTTGAGATTTTAATGGCCTTTTTTTCTTCCACGTGTTATTGTGCGACATTTAAATGAATGTTTTAGTAAACGGGTTTGTTAAAAGGAAATGCGAACAAATAGTGTAGCTTAATATTTTGAATAAATTCAATGAATTTATCTTATTTAAGTCTTAATTATTTTAGCAACGGCGCAAGCTAATTTTCTCTCTCTTCCACATACATGTCGGGCAATAGCATGTTATTTTTAGTCTACTGAAATTGAAGAGAAAAAAAGCAAATTAAAAAAAAGGCTTAATAAATTTGTTTAAATTTCATTTTGAACAGAAAATGAGAAAATTTACTTTTTTTTAATCATATAAATACATAGCGTGTCACATTATAATGATGTGAAATGATATGATAATATGCGAACTAGCTTCACGATCTAAACAATGTTATTACACATCAAGTTGTTTTGTGGATAGTTTTTTTATCATCAGTACATCATTGCAACCATAAAAATTTGCAATTTAGTAAAACCTGCGGCAGTGATGAAATTTTTCACCTGTATGAAAATATAAAAAACACCATATAATGGTTATAATTAGCAAATTCTTAGCCTTTTTATTTTTTTAGTGTCACCATAAACGCGACGCTTTTTATAGGTGGTTGAATGAAGAAAATACCAACTATTCAGATTTATTTTAAACTTATAAATGAAATATTAAGAAATATTGATTAAATAAAATGCGTATTTTTTATTTTTCGTATTTCCACTGTAAAAATTTATTTTTCACTGCAGTGAAGCATATTTTCCGTATTTTCACTGATGTTTTGCAGGACTACTTTCTTCTGAATTTAGCAAATACACAAAATTTAAAAGGGAATTCTTCCTTTTCACAAGATTAATAAAAGAAAAAAAGTATATAAGAAATAGAAAATTCATTTATTTTCTACAAATACAGGATTTATTTTCATCATTTGGTACCGCCACTCGTGAAATATTTATTTTCATACCACTCGATGAAAAAAATCCTGTATTTATAGAAGTAAATTGAACATCCTCAAAGGCATAATATTCCATGAAAATAATAATCCGCTCATTTTAATTATGTTACTATTGTAAGTGGCATTATGGTCATGTTTTCTTTGTCAAGATGAGACCGACATGAATTAGTTGTATATTTCAAAAGATTAACTCTTTTAATAGCGATTGACAAATATCTGATAATTACAAAATTTTAGGATAAAATGAAAGAAATAAAGAGCCTAAAATATAAAAGGACTCACTCTTTTAAAAAAGAAAATGAACATTACCAATAATTAACGAATGATATGTTTATAGACATTTATGTGGGTCACTTGGTTTATTGATTACTTACATTGTAAACACATGTGACAAAATATAAAGTTATTATTATTGAAAATGAACGAAAGAGAAACAACTTGCAAAAATAATATTTTCTATAGGTTATTCATGAACGCCAGATAAATATATTGCAATATACGGTAATCATATTTACAGTTTATTCCTGAGTGTCATTGAATATATTGCAATGATAATAATATTTTCAGTGCATTCCTTAGTGTCAGATAAATATATTGCAATGATAATAATATTGTCAGTGCATTCCTGAGTTTCAGATTAATATATTGCAAAGATAATAATATTTTCAGTGCATTCCTGAGTTTCATGTTAATATATTGCAATGATAATAATATTTTCAGTTTATTCCTGAGTTTCAGATTAATATATTGCAATGATAATAATATTTTCAGTGCATTCCTGAGTTTCATGTTAATATATTGCAAAGATAATAATATTTTCAGTGCATTCCTGAGTTTCAAATTAATATATTGCAAAGATAATAATATTTTCAGTGCATTCCTGAGTTTCATGTTAATATATTGCAAAGATAATAATATTTTCAGTTTATTCCTGAGTTTCATGTTAATATATTGCAATGATAATAATATTTCCAGTTCACTCCTGAGTGCCATTTAATAAGCGAAAGAGATGTGTATGGCAATTATGAGCGCCAGATAAATATATTGCCGTGAGGATATTTATAGTTTATTCATGGGCGCCAGATAAGTATGTTGCCATCCTGATAATATTTCAAGTTTATTTATGAGCACCAGATAAATATATTGCCATTATGATTTTATTTCCCAATTTTTAATGAGCGCTTTATTGCCATGGTCAAAATAGTTTGGAACTGCGTCTGCGTCGCCGTCGAACTTTGTGCAAGTATTTTCAAAACTACTGAAGTAAATGGGTAGAAACTAAACCCACTTGTTTTCTGTGATAACCTAACATACAGGGGCACATACCCCATAACTTTGAGATATCTTTTTTACCCTTTTCTGACTGATAATCGCTGAGAATAGTCGAATAAGCTTCTTACAAACAGCGCTTGTTATCTTCAAAACTATTTAAATGTATTTGTCTGAGTTAAAGTGACATATTATGCAATTCAAGGATATAAAGTTAGTCAAAATTTGACAGTGAAAATAAATTAATTCCAAAATATTACTTTCAATTTTCAATTTTATAATATACTTTGCATGAGTGATAAATAATCGCTTGACCCGAAGAAATTTCTATAACATACATGTATATTTCCTGTAATATTCAATTTATAAAAAGAGTGGGATAGTATTTTTATATTTTAGGCAGATACATATTTTATCCTAATTTTTTTTTTCCAATATCAGCTGTGACCAAGTCGATCTTTTGAACTATAGTTAATGTAGCATTTACAGATAAACTTATAGTTATAGCTACGATTTTTTACAAATGAATTTGTTAATATATTTACTTATGACTTTATGTAAATATTTCATGTTTATTGAAGATGACTTATAGGCCCATTGGGCCGGTTGTATTTAATATGTTGTATTATTTGAATTTGTAAAATATGTTTACACATGTCACTTTAATAAATAAATTACTTACTTACTTATTTACTTACTTGAAGCATAACATAATCACTGTCACTTCAAATATTAGGCAGCCTTTTCATTTTTATTTTCATAATTGCAAAACGGAATTCCAATTTTAATTAAAAAGCTATTAACACAACATTTGACAAAGTTTCCGTAAATTTTCATTGTCGTTAGGTAAACTATTTATGTCTTTATTATTATCATTTTTGTTTTCTTTGGTCTTGTCACGTGATCACAGTATTAACTGTATGTTACAATATACTGTAACTGTATAAGTTAACGGAATAAGCTATTTCTTCGATATTTGTATATCGATTTCTTCATTAACATGTTACTTTATTGTGCCCAGACTTTTCAAAGAAAAAAGGGGAATATAGAAACAGGCTCCATCCGTCTGTAAGGAAAAAACATCCAATGGTCTATGAGCTTTATTCCGTCCATAATCTTAGTTTAAAAAAAGAAATTTCATAAACTGGTTTATGTGGTAATTTTACTGGTTTATGTTTGAAAAGTGCTACATAAAGATCAAAGAAAAAGCACATAAACCCCAAAATGTTGAAATGTTCGTCAGTCTGTCCGTCCATCCGTCACACTTTCGTGTCTGGTCCATAACTATGTAATTTATAAAAGCCATTTGAAAGAACAAGATTATATATAAACGATGTGTCATGCGAAACAACCGGAGCCCTACCGCCAAAGTCAAGGTCACTCTTAGTGATTAAAGGCCTACATTGTCTATTTGATGGTGACCGGTCCATAACTTTCTTATCCATGAAGGGATTTTAAAAATACTTTGCAGAAATATTCACAATAATGAGACAATGTGTCACGCGAAACAACCAGTCGCCTGTCACAGTTAGGGGTCAAACATTAACATTTTCTGCTATAAGATATATATTTTGTCCGGTCCATAGCTATTTCATAAATCACTCGAAATTACTTCGCAAAAACTGTTTACAAAAATAAGACATTATGCGTGCGCGAAACACGGACCTCTACCTCCAAGGTCACACTTGGAGGTCAACGCTTAATATGGTCTGTTGCATGGTATATTTTGTTTCTAGTCCACAACTTTCTAATCCATCAAGGGATTTTGAAAAGAAGATAACGTGTCTTGCGCAACACTCATACGCTTACCTTTAAGGTCAAGGTCATACTTGGTGATAAAAGATCAACATTGTCTGTTCGAGGGTATTTGTGGTGTCATGCACAACACCTCGACATTTATCTGCAAGGTCAAGGCCCTGCTTAAAGGTCGAAGCTAAAATGTTTTTATATGTTTTGTGTCCAGTCCATAATTTTTTATTGTTCAAGGGATTCTTGAATTACTTGGCTCAAATGTTTGCAATAATAACTCGACATGCCACGCATAACACTTAAACCCCTACCTCAAAGGTCAAGGTCACACTTGGAGGTTAAAGCATAAACTAGTCTGTTACAGGGTATGATGCCAAGCCAGTTCCATGCAAATAAAATGTCATGGTGAATTGCCCACGTATCTTGATTGATGGCTAGACACGAAATACACCCTGTAACAGAGTATCAAATCCTGTATTGATTTCGTGTTTGTCAAATTCATTTTGTGGCTTTGAAATAGTGATAACAACTATACAAATGTATTTCTTTTGACACATACACAGGAGTTATTTTTATACTTCTTTAATGAATTTATTGTTACATGCATGTGCAGGTCTAGCATTGATATAAACTTTGCATAGAAAGACCTGAACATAGACTTTCATAGTAAAATATCTTTCATAATTCTTCTCGGAAACAGTTATTATGGTGGCATATTTCTGCCACCAGATAACCTGATAACTAACTAGTTCATTAAGAGGTTAACTAGTTACGTAACTAGTTAACCTGATAACTAACTAGTTAATTAAGAGGTTAACTAGTTACGTAACTAGTTAACCTCTTAATTAACTAGTTAGCTATATGATTATCTGGTGGCAGAAGTATGCCACCATAAGTAATGCTCAGTATTTAGATATTTAATATGTAGCAACGCGGTGCCCTACAAAAGTTATATATAAGTCATGCCACTGGAGTCAAGATTGACCCCGCCCTTAGAGATACATGTACTTAGTTTATGTAGATTTGTACAGAAAAAGCACTCTTGTATGGGAGAGCCTAGACTTTTTATTATGTAGTATGACTTTAATCCTTTATGGTGACATTAATAATGTATCCACAGCAAAAAAAAACTCCAGTCTTGTGGATAGACAATTATGACTTATTGTGTAAAATAAAATGTAATATTTGGATGAAGTACCGGTATTTCCATGCGGAAGTCTATGAATCATTTGAAAATTATGTAGCTTGGGTAAAAATGACAACAATGTGTACCTTATCACTGATATTTTCATTGTAATATTAATGAATCTTAGGTGAGTAGGGCCATCATGACCCTCCTGTGACGTAAGGGTACTTTTTATTCGCTATAGCATAATGTAATTTTGTGTTATACTTTAGTTTAGGCTTTTAGCTATATTTGTATATCCAAGATTTATGTAAATAAAAAAATGAAATGCAAGAAGTCTTGTTATCAGTGAATTATTTGTTTCAAAATTTTCAAGGTTTTTCTTATTTATTCTACTTTGTATATAATTATAAAGTTGTTAAACCAGCCCATGATTAATTGAAGGCCCCCTTTCTCTTTTAATCTTTGAAAAATGTGAGAGTTGCCTTTCAAATTTTCAATCTTCATATAATGTTTCACAACGGTTTGTCAAACCTTAGCCGAAATATAAAAAACTTGGTCTTTTATCTGTTATAATCTATAATCACAATGTGATGATTAGGGCCAATACTTTATCCGTTATCTATAAAAAGTTTTATAGGTTATAAAATGCCCGCGTGGGATATTGGCACCAAACTGAACCAAGCTATTTGATTATCAAGCGCAAAATTCTAGATTATTATCGAGGTTAATATAACATTATGTCTATCTAATATTGATTCATTTCAGTTTTAACTTCTTATTTCATTTTTTTGTCAATAAATGATCTGATCCCGATATTTATGTTTTACTTAAATTATTGTTTTATGCATGCATGTTATCAACGAATAAGACTCAAATAAAGCACATGTCAGATATTTTGTATGCCCATTCAGTCTAGAGGACGGTAAGGATTAAATGCTAATGCTGATAAATCAAAAACAGAACCTTATGATAACCCATTTCATGCTTGATTTATTAAATGGAGCGGCCCATTTTTTAATCAGTAGAAACAATTCATTATTTCATAACATGTACTGAATGAATAACGAACAGTCCAGACCATAATTGGGCTGAACGGGATTTTAGGGAACTTTTTGTACGATGCATGACAAACGTGGCCTGAGCCAAACTAATGTTGCTTTAGTCGTAAATTGAAGATGAAGCGATACTACTGTTAACTCGGCAATGTTTATTAAGAACAATTTACGAAGAAATACACACAAATCAACGATGAATCAGCATTTAATTAGTGCAAGTCGTAATTTAGACTTTTAAAGATCCTGTATGTTGTAATTTAGGTTTTTACCACATTTAAGTGAAATTTTATATATGTATATAATTATGCTTCTAAAACAATTTTCAAACATAAATAAAAATAATTTTTTATGTACTGCAACTATTTGTCCACATTGTATGTAATCATTAAAATATATGGTTTGTTTCTTATTGAAAAATTTGACTTAGACGTTATAGAAAATAAATTTCTTATTACCTTCCTTTATCAACATGAAATGTAAATCGGTATTTATCTTTACTAATAATGCTTTTTGTAACTTACAATATTGATAAATCTTCATTTGAGCATTATATTTATGATATTAAACCATAAAAATTGAGTTACATGATTTTTAAATGTCGCTAAATGCGGATCCGATATTTTTATATGACATACGATAGAGCACTGTTAGACAATATTTGTAAAATATCAAATTTTCAAAACGAATGATACAAAATGGGATTGCATTCGTTTTGAGTAAAACTTGGTATGATTGTTCGACAGAGGGGTTGACAAGCGGGCCTCCAGTTAGTTCATCCTTACTTCAAATAAATTATTATTACTTCAATCACAGTTGTATTGTGCGATGAAATACATTTAGAAACAGAATCAACTTTTCGATAAAATACATACAAAACAATATTTTCTAATATGAAAGATCAGCTGTAAGATAAACAATTTGCATGTCACCATTATCTCATAATATAGTAGATTTATGGCTCAAGGTATTTAAAAATACGAAAACAGGTATTTCACGGTATCTAGGAAGTAACATTTTTATAGTTGTTTCGGTGTAGCTTAGATAAAAATTGTCATTTAAGTACGTGTAGTTGTATTCATAGAAAATGTTATTTAAGCCTATCCTTTTGTGAGCAGGTATTTTAATCTACAAGTAAATTATAAACAAAATTTAAATTCATATCGAACTTTATCCAAATTTAACAAATTTATAATATTGCTCAATTAAAAAAGAGAAAAATTCTCTAATTTGCAGCATCAATGTATACAAATAGTATTAATGTAATTAAGTTAAAAAAAACATTAACATTTGAAAATCGTAGTCAACATCTTTAGAAATAAATATATTATGATATTGCATGATATGTCGTTCATATGCGCATAATTTATAATTACGAAGGCCGAAGTATATATAGTACACAGATCGATCTATTTCCATTTTATAACACCTCATGAAAAAAATAGGCTATATTTGAAATCTGATAAATACAAAACAATTTTTTGTTGAAATTTGCTTTGAAAAGTATCTAGAATGATAGAAAAGGGTCTAACTAAGAAAATAATACAGACGTTTTAAACAGTTGTTTACGTGATCACAATGTAGCGCCAAATATCGACGCAATAATATATTGCTGCGCGCTGTACAATTGCAGTTGCGTAGCAAGCAATAGGGTTCGTAACCATTTTTCTTTGATAATGAAATTAAATAAAAAGGTTCTTAAAAATATGTGGCGTTTTATCATGTTTCGTGAAAATATATTCCATATTTCACTCAAACGAAAAAAAATATCCTCTTAATATTTCTATAAACCATCGAAAAGCATGTAATAAATTAGTGTTCGATATTGTTAGAATAAAAAATAAAAAGCTAATTAAAAGCTAAATTAATTAAAGCTAATTAATAAAAGACATACTACTCACAAATGCATACTTTTTCAATAAGATAAAACCAAAGTCACAAAATTGTCTTAAATTGTTATTTTGTACCGCCTTTTGGTGAATTGGTTATGATAACCACAGATTCGCCATGACATAATGTTTTTAAGACTTTTAATCTATATTTCTTTTCATAAAATGTCATAAATAGAGGATATTTAATGAGCATAGGGTCA